GAGGAGAAGAATCTGGTGAATTAATACAATTGCACATTGAAAGAATGGAGGAGTCAGAGATTTATATCACTAAAGCAATAATGCACACATGGGGTAGCACTGATATATTCATCTGATGCTAATAAAGTATCAGACAAAGAATTAAAAATAAATACAGAAAAACTAAGACAGTGAAAGAAAAAGGTTCAATACATTATTCAATATGTTCTTATCTGTAAACTTAAATAAAAGCAAAAGCTAGACAAGTTTTAAGGCAATTTAAAATTCCTATTTTCATGAGGAATGGATTAGGAATGAGAATAAGCAAAAGCACAACAAGGATAACAGAGTATGACATATTTGGTTATCAAATACCAGACCATATTGAAGAAATGGGGCAAATAAATACACATGATGAAGTTAACAAATGCAAGGTTGAGTACATTACAGAGAAAAGTCTTTAGCCACGTTTTAATTTTTAGGTTTATGATTTTCAGAAAGGGCTTTTTGAATGACTTTGAACATTTCAGTGAGGACTACTTTCAGATGTGTAGCCTCATTTGAAAGGAGATGGGAAGGGAAATGCTTAAACAGAACAGAAAAACATGTGCTACTGTTATATATATCAGTATTTATAAGAGTACTGTGCTGAATTATGGGGATCCATCAAGAGTGATATCCATGAAAGAGGAAATGTGAAACTCTCATAGGAAAAAAAAAGCGATGGAAGAGACCAGAATAATTTCATGTAGAAGGAGAAAAATAAAATGAATTCTTACAATAAAATATGGAATGATGAATACCAGATTGGAGGCAGACCAAAACCTAGTCACCATGGGTCTGATCCATCCTGTTTAATTTGGATACTCACAGTATGGATGTGTGTGAGTGAAGTGGTCAGTCTGGGCTCTGGGTATGGCCAATGCAGAGAAATAAGTGCTGTGAGGGAGTGGTTCCCTCACCTGCTGGCTTTGGTGGCTCAAAGGCAAATCTGGGGAGGGGATGTCTGCTGAATTTTGGCCAGAGAAAACCCACACATGTTTCTATAGACAAGGAATTAGTCACTGAATCAGAGCTGTGAAGTTAAAAGTTGGATGGATGAGGGATTTTTTACTGAACACCTTATTGTGAAAGTAATTTTACTCAGTGTGCTCTGGCATGCCATGGCCAGGCTGGCAACATTCATCATCGATTTGGGTATAAAGATAGACAGAATAGGTTCTTTCAATATTATCACACCCCATTCAAGAGGAAAAAACAACCAAACAACAACAACCCAACCAACCAAACAAAAAAAAATCCACAAACCAAAACCCCCAACACTCAGAGATTTAAAAGGATGAATTTCAGCTAAAAAAGGCTGATCTCCCCAGCCTGCTTCCTCATGCAGAAAAGCTCACTTGAGACCAGGTGAACTAGCCTTTGGCCCTGCAACAGCCTCCAGAGACACCTCTCCATTCCTGTTTGCTGTAAGCTTTGATTAGGAAGATCACTCTTCCTGGATTCCAACAGACTCTAACTGGAAGGATGCACATTAATGCTTTTGCAGAGAAGAAAATTCCAGGTTCAATTGGCCTCGTGCCTTCCTCTGATATGTCTAAAACTGGTTCTGGTGGTCATATGAGTTGTTTCTTTAAGGAAGATTACTTTAGTGTAAATCTTTGTGCAGCTATTTTGGTATTTGGAAGACAGGTTTTCTAAAAATACATGTTTGAAGTTTTGTTTGGTTTGCCTTGTTGTTCAGAATTTTACAGCACAAAAATGAGTCAGGCAGTAGGTTCTGGGAATGAGCAACTCCCTCCCAGCACAAAGAACAAGACAAGGTTTTCATTGCTCAGTGACACAGCATTCACATGATACTGGAAACTACAAATTGCTTTATGGTGTTAGAGCAACCTCGTTGTAATATCCCTGTAATTTTAAAATCTCCAGCTTTTCCTCAGTGATTTGGGCTCAGGTGGTGTACTGTGCTTCCCTGAGCATTTTGTAACACTTTTCTGCTCATCTATGAGCACTGACTTAACATCAAAAATAGTGCTGTCTTTGCCAAACAAATATTTGTGTCATTTCCATGGTTTTAATTTTGATTGCTGTATTAATATGATGTTTATAATTCTGGACTAAACTGAGGGATAAATGACACAAAAAGCTTCTGTTCATTTTACTGTTTAGAAGGAATCACCAGGCACCCTAATTTTGCACTGAGCATAGGAGTAGCAGCTTCCATATGTTACATCACTTTTGCCTCCTGTCTTCATTTTTGATTACTAAATTTTGAAATATTCTGGATTTGCCTCTTCGCCCTGGCAAAGTCCCATTGCAGGAATGAGTAAGCATTTTGGGATTTGGTCTGAGGACTCTGCCCTTGTAATATTATCTTTGTAGATACAGAATTAATTTTCCACCTGAAATCATGATCCTCTGCCTTTATCACATTATAATCCTCCTCACAGCAACTATTTGTGATACTGCAGGCAGATTATGACTTCAAGAGAAGAATGAGCCTCAGCAAACAGAAGCAGATGAGCTCTTAAAGAGATAAAGATCCCATTTTCTTGCTAGTAATAAACCACAAAAGTGAAAAAAAAATGCAGAAAATATCAAGGCAAAACATTGTCTATAAACAGATTTTTCTGGAAATCACAGGTGACTTTTTCATATTGAAACATAATAATCAATAAACCTAGACATATTTTGAGGTGAAGCCACTTGGTGAGACAGACCCACATACTTAAATCCCTATTTGGCATGTGTTTCTAAGCACTTTTAGAGCTGCTTAGCTTCTATCAAATTCTTCTGTTACATAAACATACTTTCCTGAAGAGTTTTATCCAGCTAATGGGATGGGAGTGTGGCGAGGGAGCAGTGCAGGGTATGTCACAAGGCTCTGGCCAGTGGCCCTCACATAAATAAACCATAATGCATTTAACATTTAGAAAATCTATTCTGATTTCAGAACTTGGAATAGATTTGCTGGATGTCTTGGTCTCTTAAGGAATATTTTCACTTGCTATGGAATAATCCCTGATGCACACTAGCATTTTTTCTAAAAGGAAATTTCCACCAGCAGTAAGCCCCTCTATAGCAGGCTCCCTGAGCTGTACTTTTCCCTCTCATCCCGAATAGTCCCTAGTACCACGTTGAAGGATACATTGTAAGTATCTGTTAGCTATTTCACAGTGTGGAAAGAAAACAGGGCAACAAGCTTTCCTGCTGCAATAGTGTGTCCCAGTCTCAGATTTACATATTGGAATGTTTGGAGAATCTCCTAAATCTGCAGAGACCTCCTGGCTGCAGTGGCTTCCACTGCACTGCTTGCTTTGGTTGATATGGGCAGGTCCTGCTTCCATTCGGACACGGGGTGTCTGTCCTTACCTAAACTCTGAGTGATTCCATTGCTTCTGTAGAGTAGGAGGCATCACAAAAAAAGGCTCAGGAAACTTTGGCTGTACCTTTGCATCATATGTATTGCACAGCCCTGATGCACTGCAGACAGGGACCTCCTGGACTGACTAAGGAGATTTGGGCTCTATTTCTGTCCCTCCTCTCCAGTGCTCATGTGTAGAAGTTGCAAGTTACTTCACCTTCCCACTTCAGCCTTTTTACATCATCTGTTGCATGCAATGTTATCTATAGCAATTACTCGCATGTGTATGTAAATGTGTGTTTGTGTCTTTTGGCCATTTAAGGGTACATTTACTTAAAGTGGAATGCATTTAAATAATGAAGATAGCTGTTTGTCTGTCCATCCGAGTGTCCAGGACAGACACTGTCTTCCCTTACAGTCTCATGAGCTTTAGTGGAGGAAATCCAGTTTTCACAGGGCCATACTTTTGATTGTTTCAATTTACCAACATAACAGCATTTTAGCACAACTCTTCCGTGCTGATTTCCTAATTAAAATGACAACAAAAAAGGCAAAACAAATCCCAAAACCCAAAAGCTAATGGAAGAGGGGAGCAAAAGAACAGCAGATTTATATGGAAATATAGTGCTCCCACTAGTTTTCTGCTGGCAGGAATTCAGGATATTTAGATTCACAGCATAGATTTCTGCAGTTTTATCTGAAATCTAACCTCACAGAAGTTGGGTTCTAAAATGCTGGCTTTGTTGCATAAGGACTTCAGCAGGTATTCTGCTAGAGGAAAAAAGAAAGTAGAAAATTAGGAATTGTTGCATCTATTCTTGGTTTTGAAAAGAAATATAGTCTTTAAGCTGCAGACTATCACTAAGGACAGATTTGGCTCACCTATTCTGAAAGCTGATATGACTAAGTGAATGAATATTTACAACCTGGCCAAGTTTAATATCAACCAACATTGTATTCAGTACAAATGGCCCTTGTCAGACTTGTGCATGCTCATGAGGGACTCGGTGAAATGAGAGAATGCTCATTGTAAATGCTCTGCAGGTAGCAATAAAGGGATAGCATTATACATGTTGCCATTAAAGGAATGAAATTCTGTAAGGCCATGAGCCATTCTGGATGTTGCTCAGAGGTTTTCCCAGAAAGCCTCTAAAAAAGCATTTCTGAAGGGCAGCTTTTTCTGAGTTTATTAATTTGGCCAAATATACCCATATTTCTGGGATGATATAATTGTTGCCACCTATCAATTTTTCTTCACTTTCATTCTCAGGAAAAAAGTCCATATTTTCAGCCCCTGCTCCCTAAAACCATTTCTCACAAGGCCAAAAATTAACCTGGAAAATTTTAATTACAAATTTTAAATTAGAACATTTAGTTATAAATAACTAAAAGCATGAGCTTACAAAGAAAAGCAACAGGAGTTACTGCTACTGGCTGTGTCTAATACACATAATTGAGCAACGTAAGTCAGATGTGATATTAACAGCACTTGGCAGCATCTCTTTATTGTTACATGCAGTATGTATGGACATTATATTAATTTCAGGTGAGCATGCCTGTAGTTTGAGCTGTTAAGATCCAGTGTGATGTTGCAGTTGTTGCACAGCTCCATTTTGGGAGATGCCAAACACGATGATTCCTTTTTCTCTTGCAGGGCTTTAGATCCAGCCCTCGCCATGCCAGAAGACGAGTAGCACCTCGCCTGGAGGAAACACAACCCATAGTGGAAGCTCACCACCTCAGTGAGCAGGAAACTTCTGTAAGAAAAAGAAAAATCAAGAAAAGCAGCCGAGTCCAACCAGAATTTTACCATTCTGTTCAAGTTACCCCAACTCGAAAACCTGTAAGTATTCTACCTTTAGGGATAAATAGCACTTACTGTTATAAAAGCACTTATACTTCGAGGCATGTATTATAATTCTAATTTTTGGGCTATTCATATTCTCTTCCTCAATTTAAAAACCTTTTCAGTGCTCATATTCAGCAGCAAATCCAAATAAAAGTTGATAAGACTGTATTTAATGTTGATGCATAACTCTAAAAAATAATCCTGTTCTGAAGAGAACTTTTTTAATTTTGATTTTAAAAATTTATTATTTAGACTATAGACTATAATCAAGTTAGATATTAAATTTTATATTTTTATAGTGATATTACTTAACAGGTTTTTATAGCAAATGTGCATTTTATTTAAATTTCTTACTTAGATTTAACAGAGATGCTATGTACTCAACTAAATTTATTTTAAATATTATTACTAGATTCAATTATGAGATCTCTTCTACTTTATATAGTGTTTACAATCTTTCTGTTCAACAAAACTTAGATCAAATCTCATGATTCTTTGCTCCTCAGCTTGATTTACACTCAGTTATTTTAATACTGATAACCTACTTTTAGTATGGAAATATGACAGTTTGTTGAGACATACAGTTCCTAATGTAAATTTGCATGAAGACCTATTCTGTCCTGCAGGCATAATGCATTTCTCTTTTTAATGAGCTCATTGCTTTGACACATTTTCTGAAGAGCTTTTCTGTGCCAGTGTTATGGGGCTCGAACAACTTTATAAAGTCAGTATTATTAAAGAGGTAATTATGGAGAGTACCCTAAACCAGATTATCTTGAAGTTGCTGGAACCTACCTGAGCCTTCCTAGACTGGTGCTAACTGAGCACCAAGGATTATCAGTGAGCTTTGAAGATGGTTTGAGGAAGCATTCCTTAGTGGAATTACATTGCCTGAGAGAACAAGCAACTTCTGCAAAGAAAGCCATGGCTGCCAACAACTGCCAGTATTTTTACCTAGTATCTGAATTTATTTCTCTGCTTTCACTTCACTAGTCCGCATTTTCCTCTTCTCTCATGCTTCTATTTATGGTTTATTTTACACTGCTCATGTTTTTGTGTTTAATTTGATATGATTGGTTTGTCTTCTACTCTTCCTAAAGGATCTGCTCTTACTTTCTTCTCAAGCATCTTCCTTTCACTCCCATCCTATCTTTCTTTCTAGACTACTTTGTCTAGCTCTGTTACTCATACTAAGTCTCCAGCCTCCCACCAGGCTCCCTCACTTCATTATTCACATTCAGGGTCCTTTCCCTACTTTGCTATCTTTCTTTTATTTCTTCCATCATCAACTCTTATTTTCCATACCACTCTTCTTGTTGGTGTTTTTTTTTTTAATTCCCTTTTTTCTTTGATTGTATATTTTCCTATGGTAGGCCCGTGCCAAGGGTAAGCCTGCCTGTCACTGCTGAGGCTGTAACCAATTGCCACTGTTTACCAACACTGGAAAAAGAGCATCAGTGCCACTGAATTAAAGAGCTAAAACTGTAAAAATGATGTAAGCAGCAAAACAGGTTTGGAAGAATGGATTAGTTATGCTAAGAAAGCCCTACTTTTTCCAAAAGTCAGTAACATGTCAGGGATTTAAGGATCAGAAAAATAAAAAATATAAGAATAGAAAATGTGCAGTGTTACTATGTAACTTCACTTTTGTATCATTTCATGTGTCTGCTGTGTCTGAAGAAGATCTACCACTGTGTCCTAGGGTGTCCCAGGTTTCAGTGAAACAATAATAAATCCCAGATTTAGAGAAAGCTTCTCTCAGTGCTGTCACTATTATGTCACTTCCTTGAAATTGCTTTTGCAGTGTATCTTTTATATAGTTACATAGTTCTTTTGATAGCTTTTCCTTCTACAGCCTTGATGAGTGCACATTTCTGCCAAAAAAGAATAAATTATCTTTATTATACTACAATCCAGAAAACATAAGTCACCAATTTAATTTCTCATGGACATATAAGTTATTTTGAGTGTATTATTAATGCCATGGTGACAGGGTGAGTAAGGTTTATGCCATTGCCATGACAAATCACTGCAGTGTTGTGAAGTTCCAGGCAGTCACCAGGATGTCCATCCTGCAGTTTATTGCATCTTCATCCCACTTAGTCTCAATGGCTTGAAGCTGAGAGACTTTTGACCTTCATTTTTGTACGATTTTACATGATTCAGTGCCAGAAATGCTCTTGTTAATCTGCATAATTTCTTTCCCCTTTTTCCCCCGATATTCCTAGCTCTGGCCACTTGAACCACTCTAAAGAAATAATCTGTTGTCTTGATGTTTACATTATTCTGCTGAGTCATCACTTGAAAAAAGTCCTGTATGATGTCTGCCAACCAGAAGATATAATTTCTCCTCATAAAACAGTATTCCTTTTTTTTTTTCCCTCCTCACGCATTTTTGTCCCCTTTTTTTTCTGACAAGAATGGTATCTCCAAAGTAACTATAAAAGAACCTTAGGGAAAGCTTTTTTCCTTTGCTCCAGCAAAATTTAAAGTCCTGAAATATGTTAGCCTGTTTTGTTATCATATTAAGATATATGCACAAAGACTTTTCAGATATTTCATTTAAGGCTCTGGTGGATATTTAGATGCTAGGCTTTCTTATTCTTGCTAAGTTTGACTATTTTCTATTTGGTTGGTTTCGTTGTGTCTAAATCTTGTTTTGCAGTTTCCTAGCTGCTGCTATAATTATCTGAATTTGCTTGTATTATTTTTTACTTCCTGCATAGCAATCTGAGATCTTTCCAGTATTGTTCCTGATCTTGTCAGAACTAAATTAGTTGTAATTGTTTGGATGGGAGTAATCCCACTGAAGACAATAATTACTCCACTTGAATATCTGCATGAGATGTTTGCAGAAATAGAACATTAGTTTTCTTTGAAAATTTAATGGTTTTTTTACACCTTCCAGGTTGTTAATGGGGATATTAAATATATTTTGTGCTAATACTGATCCTTGCCAAACAGTTTATAAGCCATTTTCATTTTTATTTATCTTACTCTAGTACAACATGAACCTAGTGCTGAGGCTTCCCCTTGTAGGGCACATTGTTATATCTCATGTCCTCTAGGTCACCCTCTCCTTAGTGGCTGTATTATTTGTGCTGACATTCTCTATAGGTGACAGCTTTACATCAGTTTCTTATGGAGGAGAGTACACATACCTACTACTGACGTGTGCTTTGAATTTTGGAACACAATGGAGAACTCTTGAGAACAAACAGAACTGTGTTTTTTAGGTTGGTGTGATTGCATACAAATCAAGGAAGTGTTTCATATTGCTCCTTTCACAAACTGGGTACCTGATTCTGTTAAATTTTCTGAAAGTGTGGAAAGATGTGCAAAAATCTCTTGTTGTGAGCATGCTGCTGCCTAGCAATACTTCTCCAGGGCAGATTTTAAACTGAGGGTTCTTTTACAAGCATTTTGAAAATACTGTCTATATTTTAAATGGTGCTTCTGCTCTGAAGCAAAGTATAAAATGCTGCAAGTTATTCATAGGTGGCCTTGAGTTTGTGTAAACAGATGTGGCTCCTGAGCTGTGGGGTCAGTTGGGTGTACAGTTCTGCCAAACAATGTTTGCATGACCATGAACATAATTGAAAAGAGATGATGTCAAAGCAGCATCTTTTGACATCTCCATTGTTAAACGGTTTGAAGGGCTCCTAAATGACTCATGCAGCCAGCAGGATTATTTACAATCATGACATGTAGTACCAAAATTTGCAGTTTTGTTTGTCATGATCACTCCAAGGCATGGTAGATGAGACTGCAGAGACAGGGTGATAAATAAACCTGTTTTCTTCACTTTCAGATGTGAAAGCCCTCTTTCTACTCAAAAGCCTTGTATTTTACACATCCAAAGATCTATTTTGCCACAGAACTGTAGCAACAGCATGTATTGAGGTGATTACTAGTGAATATTGTTACAAAGAAAAGTATCTCTGAAATAACCTACAAAGAATAAATTGATGACAAACAATAATCTGAGAAGCACTGCTGATTGTACATATTCCTCAGGGTCTCCTAATTTACCTGTTTCTAATTATTTAAGGACTGGCCTTTGCTGAAGCAATTTAGCTCCTTAGGAGTGGGTGCAGCATCACTATAAGTCACTACAAGGAAAACAGAGAGAGGGCAGATTTCTGGGAGGGCACATGTGAAAAATCCCTGATGTGGACAGCTTCACTTGGCTCCACTGAGACTAATCCCATGGCCAAAGTGAAACTTGCACTATGAATACCCTGATAAAGAAACCATGAAAGCAAAGTTTGATCAATTTTTAATGCATGTAAAACCATAAACTGTCCCATTCATGGTCTTTCCAGCTATCCTGGTTTACTTATATGTTGTATTTAAGCCTTAAAACTTATGGGAAAATCAGTATTAGAGTTATATCTGAAAAATACTTGGGAGTTTTTTAAAATATCAGATACCAAATAATTTATAGAAGTTCCAGAAGTCTCACATTTTTGACACCTTAAGAATATTTTTTTCATATGGATAAAGTTGTACTACAGGGCCCTTTAGGAGTTTTTAATATGTCTCATTAAATAATATTAATTTCATTAATTTCCATTTATTCTTACTCTGATGTTATGTACTAATTTTCCAGTACCACTATGTCCTTTAGATGCTATTTGAATGACCTAAAACAGGAGATGAAAATATTGCCCATCACTCTGCACAAGACTTGGTTATTTCCAACTATTAGCTATTTAATCTATAGATTGCATTCATATCTTCTTTCTTTTGGAGACATATGCTCATGCTGGATTGTGTCTCCTGTGAATTGCATTTAGAAGCAAACTTGTCAAAACACTACCATGCCATCTTTCAGCATTTCTATTAACATTATATTAACATTCTCAAACGTATGGCAGAGCTGTGAGCTGTCAGATTCTGCACGCACGTGTGCACACACACATGCATGGGTCCTCTCTCAGGACAATCTGAGCACAGCCATAAGGAACAAACACAGGGAACATGTGAATCCA